CGCCGCCGCCGCCGCCGCCGCCGCCGCCGCCGCCGCCGCCACCACCACCACCACCACTGCCCAGCTGAAACTGCTGTTTTAAAAAAGTCCTTGGCCAGGTGATGGTGGCGCACGCCTTTAATCCCAGTGCTTGGGAGGCAGAGCCAGGTGGATCTCTATGAGTTTGAGGCCAGCCTGGTCTACAAGCGAGATCCAGGACAGGCACCAAAACTATACACAGAAAAACTGTCTCAAAAAAAAAAAACAAAATAAAATAAAAATAAAAAAGTCCTTTTAGGCTATATAGCTCAAAGCTGTAAAAACCAATAACCACCAAAGTAGAACATCTTCCAGCTGACTTCTAGAGGTTATGAAGCTATCATTAATGAAAAAAATTAGAAAAGTCAGCTATTTTAAGAATGTTAAATGGTTAATCACACTCAACATAATTGCTTTCTGAAGTACCAAGTTCTTAAAAGGCTGCTGTAATGCACATGGAATAATAGTGAAAATTTATTTTCCAATGAATTTGATCAAGAGGAAAATTCGAATTTATAAATATAAAACCATATCAATTCAGCTGATCTGGTGGAAAATATTACACAGTTTAGGACAATTAATCAAATCAAGTTGGCATCTCTGATGCCGCTAGATAATGTTTTCTTAGAGAATTCAGGATTTCATTAGGTATCTACTAGACTAAATCCCCTCTTGCTGCCTATCATATAAAATCTTGGTGCTTCCCTATTGCTACCCTGTTCTTGGGAGTGGGTCAGCAGTCTGTTCCAAACCCCAGTCAACTTTTCTTTCTACCCACAGAGTGGTCCAGTTCAGTGGCTTCACTGTACCCTCTCTCACAATTATCTAGTGTAATGATGTTATTTTTAGATTATCTCCTTGCGCAAAAAAGAATTCTAAATTCCTCCATATTTATACAATTCCTCCATGATTCAATGTGTGAAAAACAATGTTTCCTATCAACCATGGCTAGCCCACCATCTTGTGAAATAAAGTCTTGTGTAACTGTCTGCCCAACCTCCAGATGCCAGGCACTCCTGAAGCCTGGCACCTTTCCCCTTCAGAGGTGAGACATGGTCACCCCCCTGTTGTAGGGTAAAAGCTAAGTATTCTTCCCACCATGCTGTGCGCACTCTCAAACCTCCTTGCCTACACAGTGTGACTCTTTGTAATGCTCTTTTTCAGTAAGGGAGTGCCTCAAAGATGTGGAGAAGGTACCTCAAAAATGGGCAAAATGGTTCCTGTCTATTATAAACCATCCTGGGAATAAAACAGCACAAAATGATCATCAAAAGACTAAAATGCTTAACTAACTGGGTAGAGAATTTAATAGAAGAATGGATTCAAGAAGAAAAAAAATCTATGAGGCTGATATATAATGTCAAAAGGTTAAAAAAGAAAAGATTTCAGCTAATCAGGCAATCCTCACCAGTCAAGGTCTGGTGTCTGTCTAGGTGATGGCCCCCAGGGAAAATGCTTGAAAACCAATTTCAATACAGTCAAGGAATGGAGGCAGGCTGTGTGCTAAGAGATGTCCGAAGCCAGGTCTGATCTTCAATTGGGTTAGGTACAACATGCTAAGAAGGCATTTAAAGACTGTGCTTTAGGGATCTGAAATTTGACCTTCACTGTCTTTGAGCCATTGAGGGCTCTAGAACAAAGGCAATGCCGAAGCCATTCTGTCTGCTGTCTGTGCCAAGCTGCCAACCACACAGCCAGCCACACGTGGGTACTGAACCCCATGTTACACATGCCAGTGTTCAAAGGCTTCATTTAACACAGTGGTTCTCAGTCTTCCTAACGCTGCGACCCTTTAATACAGTTCCTCATGCGGTGGTGACCCCCAACCATGAAATGCTTTTTGTTGCTACTTTATAACTGTAATTTTGCTACTGTTATGAATCATAATGTAAATATTTTTGGAGACAGAGATTTGCCAAAGGGTTCACAACCCAGAGGTTGAGAACTGCTGGTATAATAAAAGGGAAAATGTTTTGTTAATTTGGATCTGTTCTCATTCAGACAACATTATAGGTGATGGGTTGAATATACTCGTCTGCCAGAAAAAGTTTAGTCTATTTGTGCAGTTCCTTTGCTGCCTCGGATAGCTCTGATCTGGGGACAAGACCAGAGAGGGCAGAGTTTCTCCTCTGACACCGGCTTGAACCAGACCGATGACTCCTTGCAATGGACACCTGCAAGCAGACGTATGGGCAAAGGGTTCACTGCGTGACGTTCTGTGTCTCACTGCAGCTTCCAGGACGAGACTTTTTTCATTTTTTTCTCTTAAATTTTGTTTTATTTGGGTGTGTGTGCAGGGGTGGAAGGTAGATGTGAAGGGACAAGAAATGAATGGCCTCAGATACATGATGTAAAAGACACACAGGATAAATAAAAAGAAAGGAAAAAGAAAATGAACAAGGCTAGCTGTTCAAGCCAATGCCTCCATTTAAAACCAATAGTTTAGTTAGGACTTCTTGTCCCATCTTTTAAAAAAATTAGTTATGTTGTCAAACATCTTAATCAGTTTTTAGAAGATTAAATTAGTAAAGAAAAAATGTTCCTTCTATTTCCAACCTGGTGTGTGTACATGTTTGTGTGTGTACATGTTTGTGTGTGTACATGTTTGAGTGTGCACATGTTTGAGTGTGCACATGTTTGTGTGTGCACATGTTTGTGTGTACATGTTTGTGTGTGTACATGTTTGTGTGTGCACATGTTTGTGTGTGTGCATGTTTGTGTGTGCACGTTTGTGTGTGCACATGTTTGTGTGTATACATGTTTGTGTGTGCACATGTTTGTGTGTGTACATGTTTGTGTGTGCACATGTTTGTGTGTGTACATGTTTGTGTGTGTACATTCACACAAGGAACCAGAGGTCAATATCAAGCGGCTTCCTCAACTGCTTCCCACAGTTTGAGACAAGCTCTCTCAGTCAATCTGGACCTGCTGACCGGGTTAGGCTCCTACCTGCATGCCCCAGACACCCTCCCATGCTGAGACTTCGGGAGCACACACCACTGCGTCTGGATTGCTGTGTGGTGCTGGAGAGCTACACATGTCCCCCGACTTGTACAAGTTCCTTATCAACTTTATATCTCCCCAAACCTTTCCCGATTTGTAAATTTCCCATTTCTAAGCCAGGCGGTGGTGGCACACACCTTTCAGGCAGAGGCAGGGGGGTCTCTGAGTTTGAGGCCAGCCTGTTCTATACAGTGAGTTCTAAGACAGACAGAGAAACCCTGTCTTGAAAAACCAAAAAAAAAAAAGAAAAAAAAAGAAAAAGAAAAAGAAAAATTTCTAATTTCTATCTCAATTCCAATTTTTAAAAAAAGACAGTAAAAGCAAAAGTTAAGTCCCTGAAAATCCCACATTCAAAGAATCTGAATCTACTGTAACAAGCAGAAATGTCCTGTACAGACAAAAAAAAAAAAAAAGACAATTTTTTCATATAACAGCTCTTCACGGTTCACTTTGATCTAGAAAGACAAAGGATGGTTCTGTAATAGAATGGAGAGACCCTCAATACTAATGCTGGGATGGAAACGCAAAGGACCAAGTCAGAGGAATTAAAAAACAGGGATCCAGTGCTTCAAAGGGTGAGCTGACCAACCAGAAAGGGGCCGTGGGGAAAAGTCACAGCAGGTAATCCCCAGGTCATGAGCTTTCTCATTGTGCAGACACCTCATTCGATTATCCCACGCTGTTAAATCTCCACCAGAGGAGCCAGTGACAAGGAGGCTTCCATCAGGAGAGAATGCACAGGCCACCAAGGAGCCATCCTTGACACCACCACACCTGAAACCAAAGCAGAAGAGGAGGAGATGAGGTGTTCTTTATGTGATAGACAGTCCCTTTTCAATGACAGCAGTTATGACAACTAGAACGGGTGACCGATGGCCACCAAATACAGCATCTCATGCTGTAAACCAACCGACAGGGAGGATTTAAATCTATTAGCTATACCTATGAGCCCAGATCACAGGGACCAGAGCCACTACAATCCTCATCTTTATATCCTCACAGCAAGTTAACATGAACCCATGTGCTTTTTATCTGTATATTTTAAATAGGGCCATTTGCAAAAAACAACCAAGAGTAACAATGGCCCTATTTAAAATATACAGAATGATTTTTACTGAAAAGACACACTATTACGATAAAAAGCACATTCAATTTCTGTACTGAAATCACTCAGGTAATAGCGCCTCATCTTCAAACAAACTCTATGAAAAAAACATGTGGTGCACAGTGACTCCCTTGGGAAGAGGGCAAAAGTGCTGTCCTGGGAACACTGTTCGTCAGGTAGGTAAACAAACTGATTAGGACCCAGCCATTAGTGCGGTGTTAATCACGTGCAGGAAGGAAGCTGTGCCACAGAGGTGGAAATCACAAGCCTGGCTAGCTAACCGCGGGCGTTCGTTTCTATAAAACAGAGACATCGCATTCATTCTGAGCTGCCTGATTAGACTAGGCTAGCCCCCTACCATCACTTAAAAGCATCCCTTTCTTCAGCTCCAAGACCACCAAGGAGCAAGTCTTTGGCCAGCTGGCCTGCCTGCTCTGCAGATGCCAAGCAGGAGGAACATTATTAGATGATTTTCACTGTCAACATCATGAAGGCCATGTTTCTAGTGTACTCAACGATCTCAACTAAAGTGGTCAACTGCGTGTCTACTTTACCACAGTAAAAAGTAAGACTTAATTTTAACAGGGTTCCAGCCAGGCGGGGTTTAAACAGCCATACCTATACAATTTGTATGACTGTGCATTCCACAAGACAACAGACCCATCGGCGGCCCCTGAGGCCAGGTAAGCCGAGTCCGGCGAGAAGCAGCAGACCCGGACGGGGCTGCCGCCCGGCTGCTCCATCACCGTCAGGAACTGTCCGCTGTGCGCGCTCCAAAGCACCGTGGTGCCGTCGGTTGAACACGATGCCAAAATGTGTCCTGAGGGAGAGAAGCAGCAGCAGTGGACAGCGTAGGTGTGAAACCTCAACGGGGAGTGCGGCAGTTCCGAGAAGTCACTCAGGGAGTACAGGCGAATGGTCTTGTCCAGGGAGCAGGTAGCCAAGAGGGACGAGGAGAAGGCGCAGCAGCTGACGTCATCACCGTGATCCGCCAGTGTGCGAATCAGCTTCACCATGTTCCCCACGCCACGGAAGACAGCCTGCGCGTTTGTAGACAGGTCAACGTTACGTGCCAGCCTAGGAGTCGGGGAAACCCAAGCTCGTGTAAACGAATCTACCCAACGAAGACGCCCCCCCCCCCCCCCCATGTTGAAGGTCACTTTAGTACCTGGGATAATTTGGGGAGATGATGGAACAGAAAACATAAGAGCATCTCTTCTGCGGGTCATAGCCACCCCAGTCAGTAGACTCGCTTCACCTTCGGAACCTAAAAGCTGGCCTCACTTCAAACCTGTTACTCTCAACTCAAAAACATTTCCACTCTTAACTGTGTCACAGGAGAGCCAAGGCTGTTTGCTTTACACATGAGTTATTGACGGGGGAGAAATCCCCAAAATCTCATTCGAAGTGTGGTTGTGTTGTCACGGTTTGCATAAAGACACAAAAGATTTGAGGCGGGGAAACCAAGATGCCGAGAAAATGGAGTTGGCCAGACCATACACGATCCAAAAACAAAATTTAAAAACTTAAAGTCCAAATTCCTCTCTATAGCTCATAAAAATATATGGTCTGATTCCTTTTTTTAAATTTAGCAATATTCACTTACAAATCTTTGGTGTTCCTGTTGTTTATTCAAGGTAAGTTTTAGATTCGCTTTTTTTGTTTGTTTGTTTTTCAAGACAGGGTTTCTCTGTGTAGCTTTGTGCCTTTTCCTGGAACTCACTTGGTAGCCCAGGCTGGCCTCGAACTCACAGAGATCCGCCTGGCTCTGCCTCCCGAGTACTGGGATTAAAGGCGTGCGCCACCACTGCCCAGCTAGATTCGCTTTTTAAAACCAGCATATAGTTGTGGGTTTCATCATGATATTTTCATTCAGTTTGTCTTGTTGAATTTCCCCACTTTCCTCCCTGATCTCTGAACCCTCTGGAAATAACCCCCTTCTGCCTTCATGTCATGTATAATACACACACACACACACACACACACACACACACACACACACACACACGTACATATGTGTGTGCCTGTAGTATAGACATGCGCGTGTGTGGTGTATATGTGTGTGTACAGTATATGAATGTTTTGCCTATATGCATGTTTGTGCACTACACACGTGCAGTGTCAGCAGACACCCAGAGGGCCCTGGATTTGGCAGTTCATAGACAGTTATGAGCGGTTATGTGGGTGTTAGGAATCAAACCCAGGTCCTCTGGAAGAGTGGCCAGTGCTCTTAACCACCAGACCATCTCTCCAGCCACATGCCATACATATTCCATTACTTTCTTCCCATCCCCTGAGTTTTCTCCCTTTTCTTGTTCTCCTTCCTAATTTTATGACCCACATATCCCCACCCGACACAAATGTAAGAACTGAGATCCAGAATCCTAGCTTCAACTCTTCAGTTTTATGTGTTTAACTTGGGATACCTGTGGAAGCCAGGAAACTAGAACGGGGACACTGGGCATAGGGAGACTTTAGTGGAGGAGAGAGAGTAGTTTCATGGGCTACTCAACATAAGTAGAGATGAGAGAATATACTGAAGCAGAAACGTTTAAGCTGGGCAGGGGAGGGGAGCGGATGAAAGACGGAGAGTGTTAACCAAAGCAAGGAGTGTATCGAAGGCCATATGGATACCCGATTGAGAAGTATCAAAGTTTAAAGGCAGACAACGTGCACGGCTAACATGCCTCTAGCTAACACTGCCCTAGAGGCACCGAGTTACTGCGGAAAAATCTGAGTGCCAGATGTGGGACACCTCCTTTCTTAGTTACTTTTCTATTGCTGTGAGAAGGCACCACGACTAAGGAAACTGATGGAAGACTTGATTGCATTTCCAGAGGGTTGGAATCTAGGACCATCACAGTGGGGAGCATGGCTGAGGTGAGTAGGCGTGGCCCTGGAGCTGAGAGCTCACCTGGATCCCCAGGCACGAGGCAGAAAGAGAGCAAGCTGGGAATGCCACGGGCTTTCGAAACCCCCAAGCCTGTCCTCAGTGACACAGCTCCTCCAACGAAGCCACACTCCCAATCCTTCCTGACAGTCCCACCAACGGGAGACCAAGGATCCAAAGACGTGAACCTATCGGGCCATTCTCATTTAATCCCCCACACTTCATAGCGACTGTTGGTCAGAGAAGCCCCAGAGGCCTCCAAACAGCAGGCTCTGGCCATTCCTTGGTTGTCCACTAGAATTAGACCATTAGGCTCTACTGCTGAAAATTCCACACCACTTGGTTCCAAGAGTCAAAGAACTCAAGCTGGAACTGACCTCGAAACCTCCTCCCCGCTGGCTAGCTTGGAGTGCCAGATGGTGCTATGGAAGGCTGCTGGAGCGAAAAGACAAGTCTTACCGAGCGGAAACCCTATGAACTGTACGCACAACCTGCCAGGCAAGACGTACCCACCAGTGTGACAGTGGTGCACCTGCTATGGCGTAACCAATCTCCCTCTGATGGGATCTGTGCACAGCTCCACAGGAGGGACTCCATGCCCAGTACTGAAAAACCTGTCCAGAATCCATGCCTGGAGACGTCGTGAGTCTTTGGGGAAAACTTACTACTGTTGTTTTTAGCTTAACTGACAGCGTGTCAAACTGCCCTTCTAAACATCTATGTTCATAACCGTAGACAAATGGCACCCTCCGCCCTAGAGAAACCTCTGTGCCACGAGCAGTGGTGAATGCTGAGTCTCATGGCTACTCGGACACGCTGAGAATAAGTAAAGCTGAGGAGTCAGCCCTGAACAAGAGGCTGGTACCATCCCTTCTTCAGCTTAAGGAACAACATAGGCTGGGGAACAAAAGGAATTCTAGAGGCGGCGGTGGACAGGTGCTTTGAAATTCCACCCTCCAGATGCAGCACAGCTTCTGCGATCATAAACTCACAGCAGCTGTGGTTTTACACCGGGCCCGCATAGGACTGGTCCCGCACAGGACTGGTCCCGCATAGGACTGGTCCCCTAAGTCAAGGTCAGGGAGCGGCTCCTGAGGCACCGCTCCTATTGGCCAATGGTGGATTCTGGGAGAAGGGGACAGGTTCACTGGTGTATCCACGGCTGAGCCACGAGGCTCAAATGAATCCTTTCAAATCCACGGCCACATGGAAGGTCCTGGTAAAACTCTCAGGGGCTCATAAAACAACAAGACAAGACGGTGGGAAAGAGTTTTTCAGGGAAAGTGGGGAGAGGGTGGAGTCTGCCAGAGTGGGGGCGGAGTCAGGAAAGAATAAGGGATGAGAGCAGTCAGAATGCATTACGGACATATTATGTAATAAAACTGTCAAAGAACAACTTTAAGTTTCTTAACTAACAAATTTAACAGTTCAGGAGCCACACGAGAGAAAGGCAGCATTTGTCTGAGTCTGGTTTATTTCACGTAACGGGGGTCATTTCTAGCTCCACCCACTTTCCTACAAAAATCATGATTGCGTTTTTCTTTATGGCAAAGTGCAATTCTATTGTGTACATGTACCAACTTTTACAATCCACTTATCTGATGACAGACCTCTAGGATGCCTCCATTTCTTGTGATATACAGCAATATGCACACATGTGCATGCATCTCTGTGGTAGGACTGAGGCCTCTGGGTATATGAGAAGTTGTACAGTTAGGTCATACGTTAGCCTTCTGAGAAACATTCATACTGATTTCTACAGTGGGCAGCACCAGTGGGCAGCCACACTGCCAGTGACCAAGAGTCTCTCTCCCAAGAAGACGTGGGCACCTCGTCCATATTGCTCATCTCTCACCACAACAGCCAAGACGGTGCCAAGTACCGAATGTGCTCAAATAAAACGTCGCTTAGTACTGATTTTCCCAAGTATAAGTGGGTTTGCCTTTAAATATTACATATGAAAACTAGCGTGAAATGACTTAGAAAACAAAGCTTCCAAAAACAAAAAATCTAGCAGTGGAAAAACGGAACAATTAAAAATTAATAATGCTGGCTGCGCCTGGTGGCACTAGCCTGTAACAACAGCAGCAGGGAGGCAGAGGCAGGAGGATGGGAAGTTCAAGACTACTCGAATCACCCAAAACTAAACAAGGAGGTGAGGCCAGCCTAACTAGTCTCAAAACACCCAACAAACCGACAATAATAGTGTCTGTGCCCATCCCTAAGGGTCAGATGTGACCTGGACTTGTCAAATGCACAATCTCCTTTCCTCACCCAATTTACGGACATCTCTACAAATAAAACCCTGTATGTTCTCAGCTTCATCTTCTCCCCAAAGTTGAACAACACACCCCCCCCAACACACCCACCCACCCACACGCAGCCTTAAAAACACAAACACAACACTCCAGCAGGTGCCGGGAAAACACTCTCAGGTGACGCTTTCTGGAGCCCTTCCAAATCCCCGGAGTGCAGGTGCAGCGGGAGACTTTCCGAAGCGGCGCAGGAGGCCGGGCGAGCCGGCG